TGTTTAGGGTTTTCAGGCTCTTTTCTTTGGGCCTTTTGACACATTTCGACGCGCTCTTCACGCTCTTCAGTTGTTGCTGTTGTTATGTATTTGAAGGCAATGACTTTGTTTAGCTTTTGCTCTTGTGTGTGTGTGTTTTTTTTTTCTTTTTGCGAGCTTGTGCCCAGCAACAAATGCCTGAACACAGCTAGCATATCAAATAATGTTTATGAAAGTCTATGTACGTATGTATATTTGTTGGGTTCAAGTACTTTCAACTGGAAGCCGATTCGTGGAGTTAAATCTGAATATATCTGTACAAAGTTAATATCAACTCGCCTCTGGAGTCCATTTAGTATCAGAGCATTTCGATATCATGTTCATTTGAAATTCTTCACATATACCATTATATGCATATATATTTAAGCATTATTTATGGCAAAGAATTTGTTGAAAATAGATTTCAAATCGATCGATTTTCTGTTTGCGCAAATAGAATTCCATGCTCACTAAGTAATTGCACTTACCATGCGAATTTTAAATGTGCAAAAATGTTCTGCATACTTTATTTATACTTTATATATGTACATATATACATATATATATACGTATATCTGTGAAAAAGTACACAAATTTTGAAAAATATGTAAATGAATAACTGTACACACACACAGTTGCAAACATAGCTTGATCGCACATGCACTTGTCCAAATATTGAATAGCACAAGTCTGCCAGCAAATATGAATAATTCCTGAATTAATAACATATTTACATATATGCACATTCAATGCAGACATATGTTGTATGTATGTCTACAAACAGATATAGCAAATATATATATGTATGTATATACACTTGCCACTGCATTGTTGATGATTGCTTTTTTCAGCGATCGATAAGGCTAGCAGAGTTTCGCATAGACTTTTAACTGCTCATCGTAGAGCAGATCAATAAAACGCATTATAAACGCGATTAGAATCTCGATTTGAAAGTGGTTTAGGAAATAGTTAAACCCGAACCTGAACTGGCAGACGTGCCAAGTCTCAGATACGCCCTGACTCTTATCTCTGCTCAGCCTGATAGAGATGCCGTGATGCTGTGACGCTGTCGATCGATTGGGGATGGTCCCATTTGGTTCATCGGCTGATATCGCCCCGTTGGGGCAGTCTGCCGTTCAGTTGACATAACAGCAAACCCGATCGCTATCATATGGCTGTCGGTAGTGCCATGTACAGCGAGGCGTATGCTTAATCTCATAGCGCTAGTGTGAACCATTTGAGTAAATATGTATAACTGCTGCTGCCGGCAAAAATGACGTACATCGTATTTGTTTGGCAAATTAACGTCCATCAGGTGATAGCTATATATGCCCGACAAGTTAGAGCATCGAAGCCGCTGACAACTAACATGCGTGTCGGTGTGTGGTCCTTTAGCAAACGGCAAGGAAAACAAACACGGAAATGTTTGCGCTCTAGCCATGGCTGAGCTGTTAAGCCAACGAAAATGCAAATAAATAAAACTGGTCAGTTTAATTATGACTATAAATCGAATTTATATGCAAATTATAGTCGCTCGTCTGGCCCACGAAGAGCCAATGGCCAAATGGATGGCTTAGCCGATTTTCATCCCAAAGGGTGTGGGGCTCTAATGCGATTATAAATGCCACTCTAAAGACTATCAATAACTGTTACGCATGCCAAAACGAGTCGAACTTCCCAGAAGACTTCGATTGAAATGTTGCACGTAGATATGTATATGTGCGGGATGATTGGATCACATTTAGAAGCTGCATGATGGCATCAGGATCGGGCATGCCCTATGTATGGATCCTCGTTCATAAATCATGGCCACCAAATGTATAAATAACGCCCCATTGACCGCACATAGACTGCAACATGAAACCGCAATACTTTGTCTAATTCTCTGGAATCGAAACAAAGGCCACCTCACACATACCAGCAAGACTCACCGACAGCTCAGGGCGGACTCCTTGATATTTTTATAAAAGAAAATAAAAATAGGTCTTTTATTTTTTATTTTTGGGAACCAAGCTATTAAAGAATTTGTGGCTAAATATTTTGTTATTTATTTGATTCACATTTCCTATGGAGTCTGAGGTCGGCTTGCGGTTCGGTTCGGTATGGAACTGCTGCACCCATACGCACACAATGATAAAGCGCTGATGCTGCCAGGCATCGAAATATTGCTTTTAGATAGATAAAGAGATGAGGGCAGGCTAAGCCACTTTGACTTCTGAATTCAGGCAGTCCCAGTCCGAGTCCGAATCTGAGTCCGAGTCGGTTTAGCATATGAATACAGATGGAGCGGTGCGCCTTGGAGCCTCTGCTGCGGCGCGTCGCCACTTTATATGCAAAGCAAAGTGCTTGGGTTCGATAATGCCATTGATTCGCATGTGGCCATGCTGACGATCCAGCTCTGATGATGATGCCACCGGCACCACCGGCACCACGCGGCACTGGGCGTGCTGACAGCGGTGTTTATATAAAATAATTAAATGAATGTCATAAAAGTGAAATATAATGAAATTATGTAAAGCTATGTAACACGCTCCGGCGGAATGTGGCCAGAAATACATAAGATAAGGCCGTAACGACAGCAAATAAATAAAAAATCATTAAGAGCGTTTCTTCTGGTTTCGGCCATTATAGATGAGGCGGCCGGAAAAGAGAAATAAAACAGAGACAAAAGACTAAACACCAAATAAAGCATCGAGCCAACGGACAACAAACCAGATTTGGCTAATCTTTCAGCTTTATAGGCGGGTTCTGGCTTTGATGTAAGCCAGCAAATCAGTGAAACAAATTATTATTTACCAAAATTCAAATGTTTCTACCTAATAACACTAAAATCGATTTGCCGAAAATTCATTCACAACTTGTGACAGCTAAGCGAAAAAATAACAAAAAATAGCAATAAAATATTTGTAAATATGCTGAGCTAATGAGTGCTCGACTAGCAAATACCCAGCAAAAAGAACAAATCGTTTTCTATCTATGGACAGTTAAGTCTCGGAGTTCGTGGAAATAATAACCTCCTATGCATATGTATAGGGTATTAAACAAATGTTTTAAAAAATTAAACACACAATTATTAAAGGTGTTTTCGCCTTGAATGGAATGAACATTGGTAAGCAATTATGCTAATGCCTTGCTAAAAATGGCCAGCTAAATATCCATAATAAAATAATGAAATGAAACGAGACTCGAAGTCCGAAATCTGAGATCTGAAAACTGAAATCTTCAATCTGAAAACTGAAGTCTTAAATCTAATGTCTTAAATCTCGAATGCGAAATGCAAAATACGAAGTCAAGCACAAAAAAAAATACAAAGACCAACTGCTCACTAGGTTGAAAATGTTTAACATTAATCTTGACTGATAAATTAAAAAAGAATTAATTAATATCAACAGCGAACACTTGTCGTCTCACATCTCTGCCGCGCCGCTATTCTCGCTGACATTCGGTTTATTATAATTTTTTAATTACTTTGACAGTTTTTTTGAACATGGAATTGTTTGAGAATTTATCTGTTTTTTTTTATGTTGTATTTTGTTTTTTTTTTTTTTTGTTGCCTTTTTATTTTATTGTACTATTTTTTAGAAACGATCGTGGGCTGGTACAATATATTGTTTTGTTTTTTTCATCGGCTTGCAGAGCACGTAAACATTGTTCATAATAATACCGAAAATTCAAAATTCTGAACCCACAACTACAGCAAAAACTGTGAACAACACCCTAAAGTCACGCCCCAGCAAAAAAAAAGCAGCAAAAACACTTGAATTTACGAGCATTTTTAAGCCTTTTTTTCTCAGTTGAAATCACTTACCCGTTTATTTTTTTCTTTTTTTATGGAAGCTTTATACTGCTGGCAAATTGTTTGTTGTTACAAAGGGCTCTCTGGTCACACCCTCAAACATTTAAATATTATGTACATAAACTTGATGGATACAACAGGTAAGATGTTCATTAAAGAGGTGACCAGAATAATTTCAGAGATCTTTCGCTTCCTGCATCATATTTTAAGTTGAGCTCAGATTTGGAATATTTACAAGTACAATATATGACACATTTTAATGATGCAGCTTGAGTCTGAAGCAGTCTCATATACCCTATATTCACTGCATGTAACTAAACAAGGTATATAAGGTATTCCCAACATAATCATTATTAATAACATTTTTAGATCGAGATAAGAAAGTGATGTAATCCTATACATTAGTTATAATAGGTTTTATTCGAATTTTCAGCTCTAAGCTGGCTTTAGGGTCTCTACTAGTCGGTCTCTTGTCTCGGGTCTCTTTTTACATTTAGGCTGACAGACAAATGTTCAATTTCTTAAAGTTTGTTTTTACTTTATTTATTTTTATTTTTAAATTTTTGTTTTTGTTGTTTCCCCGCCTCATTTTTTTGATGTCAACGAACTGAAATTTTCTTTATACTCGTATTTATTTAAAGTAGACAAAATAAATAATGAAAAAATAAGCAAAATGCTGAGAAACACGAGCAACGCGTCGTACGACCGAAATACTACATACTACATGCATATTCAAATTCTAAACAGTATGTGAATATTATTGTATTCGAATACAAATTAGAGCGCGCCAGCATCGAGACTCTTACAGCAAGTGTTTCGAGCTCATGGCGCCACACAATAAATGACACAATTTATTTTTAAGAAAAACTCAACACAAAACCAACCAGAATAATATAAAAATAAATTTCTATTTGTTATAAGCTAAGAAACCAAATGATATTTCATCGGAATTGAAATAGTTCGAAAAGGCACGATTAGTACAATTTGTGGTTATCAGCATTTTTACTCAGTACTCGTATGTATGTGTGTGTGTGTGTGAGTCTATAAATAGTATTAAACATGAGTCGGATCAGACAGCCGTAACGACTTCCTAATACGCAACCAACATTATTTATGAATTCCATTTACATACACATACAACTACAGGTTCGTGTTGTTTTTGAAATTTCAACACCTCGCCTTTTAGCAGTTACATCCATCGTCTATCCTCGTCCAAAGCTGTCGAGAACGCAGATCAAATGCTAATGGCTAATGCCTAATAGCGGCAGTTATAGTGGATGTCAAATGAAGTTTTCCGTTCTGTTAACATGGGCAAATACAACTGTCACGTTCCGTCGCCCAAGCAGATTGATCTAGCTAATTCTCACACCTCAGAGATAGTTCGCGAAAAGCGAAATTACTCGCAATTAGCATACAGGTCGTGTTTTCTGCAGATTCATCTAAAATCGCTCAGAAATATGTGCTGCACATTCATTTCAGAGACTCGAAGCTGTCGAAGCTGCAGCTGCTGCAGAAAATCTCATTCATGCCATGCCAATATTGTGATATCCAATTATCTTTCATGATAAGTAATATGATCTAGATATGCTCCCCAAAGTGTACTCATTTCGCCCGCATAGTCGCATGAGTAAATTATTATCAAAACAAAACAAAATATCACAGTCATAGTTCATATTTCCATAAAATTATTAACTAAACAGGCAATTGTTTTATTGTCGGGCTATAAAACTCAAAGAACAAAAAGAAAAGACATATTCATCTGCTGTTTCTGCGCATGTTGGCTTTAGTTGGATCGTCAAACATTGTATATAAAACCAAAAATAAAAAAAAAAAAAAAAGAGAAAACAATTTGACAACGGAAGCACCTGTCTCTAAAGTACCCAAAGGAAAAATTGCGCAGACTTTTATCGGTCAATCTCAACATAAGCACACATACATTAATCTCACTGTACATACATAAATAGAACGGTTCTTGTACATAGGCCGTGTGTCTAACGTCACGAACAGTTAGTGAGTCAGTGGAGATGTGAGCGGTGCTCGACTTGAAAGTTAAATAAACTTAACTCAAATAGAAACTATTTATTTTGCAGTACGAAGATCGAGCCCTAATCAAAGCATATTCAAATAGGGTATGCCCGAGTCGAGCATACTCCTCAAATTGTTTAAATCTAATGCCTATGGTGATTGCATGATACCCTGGGGTACATATTTAATTTGCGATAGGGTATGTCGAGCATATTGCTTACATGTAATGTTCATTGTGTAAGCATTGATTAAATTCTAAGCATGGTTTTCCCTGCCAGCTCTGGGGACTCTTGTGATACCCTAGGGGGTGCTGGCGATATCTCTCTATTTATCCAATACTTTTGTACAATTTTATACAATTTAACTGGGCGAAATTGAAATTTTTGGTTTTATTTTTTAATTTTATTTTCTTTTCATTTATTTATTTTATTTTTTATTCACTGTCTGTGTAGCGAAGCGTGTGTATTCAAATGCGATGGTCATAGCGACGACGCTTTCTTTGTCTCTTTGAGCTTTGCTTAAAATGAAAAAAAAAGTAAATACAAAAAGAAATAAAATAAAGCGAAAAAAGGCAAAACAAAAAAGAGCGAAGCAGACAAAAAATAGCGACAAATCAACTGAATTTATATAGAAGAAATGAAAGAACTCGACAAATCGATGCGAAATCGAAGCAATAAATTAAGTTGGGCTTTGAGAGGGCAGCCAAAAAAACAAAAAATAATAACAACAACAATAAAGAAGAGATATAAAAGAAAAGGCCGATATACTGTATGCAATGCAAAGGGCTAGGCGCGCCTCTATGTTGGATCGGTATTTACCTGTTTCTCGACGAGCGCGTGCGTGTAGATGAATTCCTTCTTGGGCGAGTAGAGCTCCGGCGGACTGCCTTTGAGTGAGTATCGCAGGACACTGTCGTCCGCATCGATATCAGCGCCTGTGCGGTCCGATCGCAATGCGGGGGTCTCTGTGTGCTCGGGGCATAGTCTGGACGCAGCGTCGATCTTTGGCTGAGATGTGGCATCCACGTCGTCTGTGCGCAGCAGCTGATGGCCCTCTGCTGCCTCCATTGCCGACTCCGTCCGCATGGCGGGCTGTCGCTGGCCGTAGAGCTGCTTCAACTACTGAAGCTGTCAGTCGTCAATCAACCGCCAGCGGAGCACGTGCAACAATGTGCGAATTTGTGGCCGAATTTTGTGAGCAGCGAACGTGGCTCGGTCGACTACGCTGCGGCGCTGCTGTATACTCGGGCTCGGTACGGGGCTAATAGCTAATTATGTTTCTATTATGTTGATATTTTTGGTGCTTTGCTTATTTTGTTAATTGAAATTCGATGGTGCCGTGCCCGCTGCCTCTGCCTCTGCCCCTGCTGCTGCTGCTGCTGTTGCCGCACGCAGAATAAACCAACAATTGATAGACAAAACAAGTAAGAACTTTAGAGTCGATCGCTACCGACTACATGATACTCGTTCACGGTTCAAATACTGTTATCTGTAGAGAAATATTTTATTTTCCTCTATAGATTTATCTGTATAATTAGGCATAGATATAGCATATTTAATCAAACTCTGATTCAGATCTGCCATGCCCTCTAAGGGCATTTATATAGTGGATAGCCAATCTGTTTATGATTATAATTTAAAGTCTAAAATTGTGCAAAATACAGTTAACAGCTACATTTTTACATGATTTGAATTAGAGTATACCAAATCTGAAATGCTTTGCCCTTATACAGACAGACGAACAATGCACAGAAACCAATTTGACTTCATGAACGAGTATCAAAATTATGCTTTTAGATTATTGCTGCTGCTGCTGCTGCTGCTGCTGCTGTTGCCGGCAGCTGATTGTAATTTCATAGTAGTTTTATCATAAAAGAATTATGGTGAAAGAAAGATTTGAAAAGTTTAGCAAGAGATAGCTACTTGGAATCATAAGCAAACAGTGATAAAGCTAAGGTGACGTATGTATGCAGAGATATATGCATATGTATGTGTTTATACGGATATATGCATGTGCGTCTGGATACATGCGTATTCATGTATAATTATGGCTAAGCTGTCGCATCCAGTGTTTTAGTTTAATTCTTTGCGTACCACAGATACATAAGTAAACGTTTAGATACAGTAAGCACAATAATTCGTTGTACACTTTTTAGCATCAAGTTGAATGCCAAAGTAATATGTTTTAATTCACAGAATAACATTTAATATTCGTGTCATATGTGTGTGTCTAGAGACTTTTATGCATTTCGCGTGTTTATTTCGTTGCACACTCGACTTAACTTTTAACAACTTTTGCATTTTTTTTTTATTATAAAACTTTTTGTTTTATATAATTGAATTTTTTTTTGGCATTTTTGTTTATTTTAACTTTTTCTTATCATCGCATCTAGAGAAGGTTATGACCGACTCAAAGTTGACCATTTCATTTGCATACAAGTTCGCACACACACACACACGCACGCTCGCACACACACACACAGGCACTCACATACACATGCGTGCAGCAAGCATAATTTGCAGAGACATATCCATGCTGTTAGGATCATTATTATTACCGTTAGTAGCATTAATTGTCACGTCGCGTAGCCGAACATTATTGATTATTGCAGATGGAAGCTGTCAGGATTTCCGAACTAGCCGAGTCGTTGCGCGCGCAAAATAAACGACGAGAAAAATGACGAGAAACAACAAAAAACGAACATTTAAAAGAAAAAACAAAATTTAAAACGCGTTGTCGCTCTTTCGAGTTCGATTCCCCGACTATCAAGCGCAATATTTTCGTTCATGAGTTTCAGCACTTGAAGCACACGCCGAGCACCGATCTCACATACACACTCACACACACACACACACGTGTATGCTTACACTCTCGCAAAGCGCGAATCTGAGACGAAGAGCGCGACTGAAGAGAAGTGAGCGTGAAATATTAGTTTGATCTGTTTTGGCGGGAGCTTGCTTGTACATATTTCTTTATTTTTAAATCAAGTAAAAATGTTCAGTGCGCAGAATTATGATTAGAAGGGTCGATTTGACGTTTCGTTCAGGTCACCAATTCTTTTCTTGCATATCAATATCAATGGGTGAGTGAAGCAAAAGTCTGATAAGATCACTGAATTAAAAACTAATACATGTACTTCTTTATCCACAGCTGAGATCAGCCTCAATCTGATAGTATCGCAGCATCTGTAGAGCCATCTGAGTACAACGGCGTTTACCAGGCGTTTAAAAGGCCGTGCCGGCCCAGAAGCTAACAAAACCCACGTTATTTGAATTTAAGAGAGCGTTTCATACGTAACCCAACACGCGCATTAAAATATTCGAATTGAGGCAAAGCCAAGAGAGCTTTAATTCTCTTTCATTGAGTTGAGCGATCATGTGAATCGAGCTTTCTCTTAACACTTTAAGCTCGATCGCAGCTTTGGATGAAGTTTTCGAAATCAAGCGTCTCTTTAGTTTTGGATAACCTTTTATCTTTCATACCCTTAACCCATAAAAGAGCTTTTTTAAGCTGGAACCTAACCGATTTCTATCGCAATTTAAGATTTTGAATGTTGCTTTAATCTCGCAAATTATCGAGCCTAACTCATCAAGTCATTGTAAATTTAGCTATGCAACACGACTCTTCCCGTTGAACTCTAAAATGTAACTAAATTAGTACCGAACCTTACTAACAACATTCCCCTGACATTCCTCTAATTATTTCTTATCTGCATCCCGTCTAATGCACAGTTGATCCATTCGGTAAGTCGATCTTATCATACCCAA